CGTAAAATGAAAGGGGGTAAAGCAGCTGGAAACTGATGGGATCATGACAGAAATGTTAAAAGCAGGGGGGATATAGTGTTGGAGTGGTTGGTACTTTTGTTTAATAAATGTATGAAAGAGGGGAAGGTACCTAGGGATTGGCAGAGAGCATGTATAGTCCCTTTATATAAAGGGAAAGGGGACAAAAGAGACTGTAAAAATTATAGAGGAATAAGCTTACTGAGTATACCAGGAAAAGTGTACGGTAGGGTTATAATTGAAAGAATTAGAGGTAAGACAGAATGTAGGATTGCGGATGAGCAAGGAGGTTTTAGAGTGGGTAGGGGATGTGTAGATCAGGTGTTTACATTGAAGCATATATGTGAACAGTATTTAGATAAAGATAGGGAGGTTTTTATTGCATTTATGGATTTAGAAAAGGCATATGATAGAGTGGATAGAGGAGCAATGTGGCAGATGTTGCAAGTATATGGAATAGGTGGTAAGTTATTAAATGCTGTAAAGAGTTTTTATGAGGATAGTGAGGCTCAGGTTAGGGTGTGTAGAAGAGAGGGAGACTACTTCCCGGTAAAAGTAGGTCTTAGACAGGGATGTGTAATGTCCCCATGGTTGTTTAATATATTTATAGATGGGGTTGTAAAGGAAGTAAATGCTAGGGTGTTTGGGAGAGGGGTGGGATTAAATTATGGGGAATCAAATTCAAAATGGGAATTGACCAGTTACTTTTTGCTGATGATACTGTGCTTATGGGAGATTCTAAAGAAAAATTGCAAAGGTTAGTGGATGAGTTTGGGAATGTGTGTAAAGGTAGAAAGTTGAAAGTGAACATAGAAAAGAGTAAGGTGATGAGGGTGTCAAAATGATTTAGATAAAGAAAAATTGGATATCAAATTGGGGAGGAGGAGTATGGAAGAAGTGAATGTTTTCAGATACTTGGGAGTTGACGTGTCGGCGGATGGATTTATGAAGGATGAGGTTAATCATAGAATTGATGAGGGAAAAAGGTGAGTGGTGCGTTGAGGTATATGTGGAGTCAAAAAACGTTATCTATGGAGGCAAAGAAGGGAATGTATGAAAGTATAGTAGTACCAACACTCTTATATGGGTGTGAAGCTTGGGTGGTAAATGCAGCAGCAAGGAGACGGTTGGAGGCAGCGGAGATGTCCTGTCTAAGGGCAATGTGTGGTGTAAATATTATGCAAAAAATTCGGAGTGTGGAAATTAGGAGAAGGTGTGGAGTTAATAAAAGTATTAGTCAGAGGGCAGAAGAGGGGTTGTTGAGGTGGTTTGGTCATTTAGAGAGAATGGATCACAGTAGAATGACATGGAAAGCATATAAATCTATAGGGAAGGAAGGCGGGGTAGGGGTCGTCCTCGAAAGGGTTGGAGAGAGGGGGTAAAGGAGGTTTTGTGGGTAAGGGGCTTGGATTTCCAGCAAGCGTGCGTGAGCGTGTTAGATAGGAGTGAATGGAGACGAATGGTACTTGGGACCTGACGATCTGTTGGAGTGTGAGCAGGGTAATATTTAGTGAAGGGATTCAGGAAACCGGGTTATTTTCATATAGTCGGACTTGAGTCCTGGAAATGGGAAGTACAATGCCTGCACTTTAAAGGAGGGGTTTGGGATATTGGCAGTTTGGAGGGATATGTTGTGTGTCTTTAATATGTGTATGCTTCTAGACTGTTGTATTCTGAGCACCTCTGCAAAAACAGTGATAATGTGCGAGTGTGGTGAAAGTGTTGAATGATGAGAAAGTATTTTTTTTTGGGGATTTTCTTTCTTTTTTGGGTCACCCTGCCTCGGTGGGAGACGGCCGACTTGTTGAAAAAAAAAAAAAAAAAAAAATATTTTTACACAGGGTTTGACAAGGTTAACCCTTTCAGGGTCCATCCCGTAGATCTACGGCTTTACGTTCTGGGTCCAAACCGTAGATCTACTCAGAGCCAGCTACTCTGAAAAACGTGATGGTAAATTTGGGCCAGATAGAGAGAGTACATCTATGTGGTATGTGTGCACCACATAAAACAAATCCTGCAGCACACTGTATAATGAGAGAAAAAAAACCGAGACCGTGATATTCAATTAAAACAGGGACTTTGCAGTGTTTTTTTGTATGTTTTTTATAGTTGTATTTGTGATTTCTTGGGCTCATTTGATAGAATGGAAGACGTATTACAGAAATAGAGATAATTTTGATTGGTTTTAGCTATGGAAATGGCTTTAAACTGAGCTCAAAGTGGCAGAAATGTTAAATTTTTGCCGATGTTCAAGAGTAAACAAACGACCTCACACGTCTAATACACGCCAGCTGGTGGGTCTAATATACATTCACAAATGTGGTGATGATATTTATACAATTATTACAATATTGCATAACAGTAAATCTTCTATTTTTTGGTGCGAATAAAAATTCATTATGTGAATAAAAAATCAAAATGGAATTTCCGGTCACTTTATTTTGTAGTTGAAACAGTTGACTTGGCGATTTCTTGTGCTCAATCGATAGAATAGAAGTATTACTAGTGAAATAGCTAAGAATTTGGTCGACTTGAGTAATGTAATTGGCGTAAAATGGGAGTCAAAGTCAGCAAAATCGCCGATTCGTAAATACTGCTGACACCTCAAAATTCACGAGAGCATAATATATTCAATTTTCCATCAAATTTCGTACTTTTTGTTTTATTACATTCACAAAAAGATTCTCTACCATTTTATCTGAAAAAATAACAATTTTTTTTTTTTTTTTAAATTCTTGGACACCACTTCAGATTTTGGCCTTGGGCCCTGAAAGGGTTAAGGATCCCTAGCTTTATTGACGAGCTATTTACAGGTTAAGGATTCCTAATTTTATTGGCAAGCTAAGAGCTGTTACCTACATCAGCTCATTTGAAAGCATTTTTATTGTTATGCGCTCTCTCTCTCTCTCTCTCTCTCTCTCTCTCTCTCTCACTCACTCTCTCACTCACTCTCTCACTCTCTCTCTCTCACTCACTCTCTCTCTCTCTCACTATCTCTCTCACTCACACTCTCTCTCTCACACTCACTCACACACTCACTCACACACACACACACTCACTCACACACTCACACACTCACTCACTCACTCACACACTCACTCACACACTCACTCACTCACACACTCACTCACACACTCACTCACACACTCACTCACACACTCACTCACACACTCACACACTCACACACTCACACACTCACTCACACACTCACACACACACTCACTCACACACTCACTAACTCACACACTCACTCACACACACACACACACAAAAGATGAACTATACAGATGCCATATAGATAGCATGATCCAAGAGTGGTAAAAGTGCATGAGGCAGTGGGTAAAACAAAAGGGGAGGTAAAGCAGCTGGGATCAAGACAGAAATTTTAAATGCAGGTGGGAATATAGTTTTGGAGTTGTTGGCATTTTTGTTTAATAAATGTATGAAAGAGTGAAAGGTACTTAAGGATTGGCAGATAGCCATTCGCGGGCCCGGGGGTCAGTGTGTAAGCATTAGTATTAGTATGCCTTAAATGCACACACATGCTACTGGCTTTCTTTTTTTTACGCTTAAGATTTTATTACACGTAAACTACATTTTTATACTGCACATGTAAATAAAATCGGTATAACTTTAAATGTCCATATTAGCAAAACACTCCTGGTTATGCAGAGCATTTCAGGCTAATTAGGTCAATTTTGTCTCCAGGATCTGACCCACACCAGTTGGCTAACACCCAGGTACCTATTATATAGACAGGTGAACATAGACAGCAGGTGACTTAAGGAAACACGTCCTAATGCTTCCACCCATACTGGGGATCGACCCCTGGACCTCAGTGTGAGAGCTGAGTGCACTACCAATTGAGCTATGGGACACCTTGGTGGTACCAATGCTCTTTAATGGGTGTTAAGTATGGGTGGCAAATGTTGCAACAAGGAGAATGCCTTCACCTCCATCAAAGGCTAAGTAATAAAAAAAGATCAGACATACAGATAATTTCAATAGCAACACTGCGATTTACAGCATAACTTGCAGAGATTGCAACAAAAAATACACAGCTGAAAAATAAAGAACACTAGAACTCTGGTTTGCAAATAAAACTATACCTGCAACCAGGACAACAAAATAATGTAATGCCTGCATATAAAATAGAACACTGGGAGGCATCATAGAATTTAACCTTTTCAATATCTTCAACATAGATCTGTTATTAATACAAGTGTCACTCACACAGATCTATGTTTTAAGCACAGTGCCCTCAAATAAGTTGCAAATGATAAATTTTGGTCTAGACATGAAAAAGTCTGTGGAGTAAGTATACACAGTATATAAAAAAAAATTTCATGCCCCACAGTGCATGATGATAAAAGCAAACCTCTAATGCTGTGCCTGGTTTAACTATTTCAGAGGCAGTTACATAGAAATACTTCACTGAGGTCAGGGTCCCTCACGTAGTTCTACAACATGAGCTCAGCTTACTCGGATAAGCTGTGAGCAATAAATTTTGGCCTGGCTATGAGAGAATGGATTTGAGCAGTAAGTGTGCAGTATAAAAAAAAAAAAAAAAAAAAAAAAGGCAAAATTACTCATGCGTAAATTGCACCAAGAATGCCAACTTTGCGCCTGTGTAATTCTGTAATTTTTCCAGCAATTTTCGTACTTACAGTGTATTACCTTCAGAAAAAGATTCTCTACCATTTCAGAAAAACATATTTTTTGTATTTTTTAATGATTGCTGGGTAATTATCTTAAGTTTCATCTCCCAAGATTTTGCTTCTGCACCATCGTACAGTGGAATCATTGTAAGTCGAGGAACACCCGTACACCGCTGCTTCTGAAGAAGCTACTCTTGGAGAAAGGTTTCATTACATGTCTATCATGCATGTTTTAACTATAACTTGTTGATAAAGTGTCACCTTAACAGTTACACCAAACATTTGTTATTTAATCCTGGCAAGCATTACAACAGAATAATATACCTGGGTGTGCGTGGAGATGCTGTAGAATTGGCCTCCAAGCTCTTATCCGGGGAGCCACTATGATCTCCTCCTGGCTCAGAAGACATGCTCGACATGCTTGATAGCACTTCTGAAAGTCAAACAAAAGTGGTACCGTGATTTCCAGGGCATTAGAAAATGCTGATAAAAATATTATTTTTAATTTAAAAATAAGATGTTAAATACAATTAACTAAGCAGAAGAACTCTGATAACAGTTGATTTCTGAAAGCAAAACATGCAACTGTCAGTAAAACAGTGGAAAGTGAAATTGACTCCCAAATTAGCAAGAGTTTGGCCCCTAGAGCTCCTCATGCATTTAGAATTCTCAGACACCGCTAAATTCTGTCCACATAATAAATTTTGTTTCAGATTTGGACTTGTCTTGAGTTTCAAAGTCATATTTAGATATTGCTCTAATTCCATTAATACTGACAGCCATAAAAAAAATCCATAAATGATATATACTTGGCAATGGGAAATCCAGTGAGCATGATTGGAATGAACACCTAATATGGTTAGTTTTCAGTTTAGGCAAGATCATGTGGCAAGTCACAAAATATGCACAACAATAAAAAACATGACCAATCAAAGATGTTTTTGAGATACCCTTCGGTAAAAATGTATGGTATACAGTATAGTATTGTACTGGTTGATCTTGTGTACAAGTCAACCCTTGACTTCTTTTTAAAAATATATGATACTGTACAGTATCTCTTATACACAGTAGTCCTCCCATTTTCACAGTGAATACGTTCCAAGACCTACTGTGGATACCTGAAACTGTGGATAGTAGCAAACCCTATACCTAAGTTGTTTTTCATTTAGTACATACATAGCATCTATGATAATTCGTAGTTTGGAAATTAGGAGGTGTGAGTTGTTGAGGTGGACTGGACATGTAAAGAGGAAGGAAGGAAATAGAATGGCTTCAAGTGTGTATAAATCTGTAGTGGAGGGGAGGCAGGTTAGGGGTTGGCCTAGGAAAGGTTGGAGGGAAGGGGTAAAGGAGCATGAGTGAGCATTTTAGATAAGAGTGAATGGAGACGCATGGTTTTTAGGACTTGATGTGCTGTTGGAGTGTGAGCAAGGTAACATGTATGAAGAGATTCGGGGAAACCAGCAGGCCAGACTTCAGTCCTGGAGATGGAAAGTACAGTGACTGCACTCTGAAGGAGGGATGTTAATGCTGCAGTTTTATAACTGTAGTGTAAGCGTACCTCAGGCAAGTAACTGACGGAGTGAATGATGATGCAAGTTTTTCTTTTTCGTGCCACCCTGCCTTGGTGGGAGACGGCCAATGTGTTAATAATAATAAAAATCTGATAAAGTTTAATCGATAAATTACGCATAATAAGTAGAGAATTAACAATTTTTCACTGATGGGAAGCACTTCACAGCTTCTCTGAGGCTTTGAAGAACTGTCACCCTCACTACTTTTGTGCTTTGGGACCATTATTAAGCAAAATTAAGGGCTATTTTTGGGCCATGGTAAACCATGGATAACTGAAACTAGGGAAACCAAATCCATGGATACAAAGGTTCTACTGTACTAAAGTCTGTGCTAGTTTTTGAGGGATAGTATATCAACATGTGAGAAAGCACTGAATTGGGTGTTGGAATTCTATTAACCCTTTCACTGTAGGTGATGTATAGCAAGAGTTTGACCCCTACAACTCCTCATGCATTTAGAATTCTCAGACACCACTAAATTCTATCCACATAATAAATTTTGTCAGTGACGTATGTATTAATACACCAAAATTCTAGCAGCTTCAAATCTAGCAGGAGAGAGCTGGTAGACCTACATGAGAGAGTCTGGGTCTGTGTGGTCAATGTGCACAGTACAAAAAAAAAATCCTATAGCACGCAGTGCATGAGAAAAAGTAACTAAGACCATGTTTTCGGTTTAAAACACCGACTTTGAGGTGTATTTTTGTATGGTATTTATGGTTGTATTCTCGTTTTCTTGGTCTCATTTGACAGAAAGGAAGATATGTTACAGAACTAGAGATGATATTGATTGCTTTCATGATGAAAAGTACTTTGAAATTGAGCTCAAATTAGCTGAAATATTTGATTTTTGCCAATGTTCAAGAGTAAACAAATGACATCATCATCCAAAACGCATCCAACTGGCCAGTCTAATACACAGTCATGAATGGGTTGACATTATTTATACAATTATTAAAATAATGCAGAAGTCTGCATAACAGTAAATCTTCAATTTTTTGTGTGAATAAGAATTCAAAATGGAAAGCAAGAGTAATAAAGGAGGGGCCTGGAGAGGTGACTAATGAACAGAGAAAATGTTATTTTAGTGCCAGGAATGTCTGCATTGTTTATTTTGGACCCTAATTTGAAATTGGTATCTTCTGAAATTTGTGTGAAATTGGCCAAATTGCCAATTTCTGACAACTTTATTGGGTAGTTGAAATCAGTAAATGGGTAGTTTCTTGTACTCAACTGATAGAACAAATGAAGTTCTAGTGAAAAAGCTATGCATTTGGTCGACTGGAACAATGGAACTGGCTGAAAATAGGGCTCAAAGTGAGCGAAATCGCTGATGTGTTTATAACGCCAAGACCCCTAACTTCGTGAGAGCGTAATTCCATAAGTTTTCCATCAAATTTTGTACTTTTGGTGTCATTACCATTGAGAAAAGATTCTCTATCGTTTCATAAGAAAAATAATTTTTTTTTTTAAATTCTTCGACAGTGACAGCAAGTTTGTGAGCAGGGGTCTCGACAGTGAAAGGGTTTAGTATCTATGTCAAGGAGAGAGATACAGCACTACTTGCTCTGCAATATCTTAGATTATTTTATTACCCACAAAAATACATCGAGGATATAATAGCAGGTTATCAGTATATATACCTTTGATGAATTTCAAGTTTTCTTGCACCTTGAGCCTGGCTGGCCCTGAGCCAGGTTTCTCTATTTACTTGGTCAACCAGGCTGTTGCTGATGGTGGCCCACTGGCCCACATAAATAATCACAGCCTGGTTGAGCTGTTACTTGATAGAGGGACTTCTACACTTGTCCTGGCAATATTTCTGATATCTTGTAAGATGCTGATCAATCTAGAGCCACAAATGCTGACAAAGTGCTGTGTTTGTGCCCACTGCACCTTTGCTTGACTTAGACATAAAAGTATAATAGTATAATTTCTGGAGTTACATTAGATTGTTTCAGGGAAATACAGTGGACCCCCGCATAATGATCACCTCCAAATGCGACCAATTATGTAAGTGTATTTATGTAAGTGCGTTTGTATGTGTATGTTTGGGGGTCTGAAATTGACTAATCTACTTCACAATATTCCTTATGGGAAAAAATTCGGTCAGTACTGGCACCTGAACATACTACTGGAATGAAAAAAGTTCGTTAACCGGGGGTCCACTGTACATAAAATGCAAATTTTTTAAATCGGCATCTGAATTCAGTTAGAAAATTTTTTTTAATTCAACTGGCTAATTATTCCACAATTTGGTCCTTCTATATGCATGGAGTTTGTATGCAGGTTCAGACAAATCCAAGGAATATCGAAGAGATATTTGTTTACAGAGAGACGACAGTCTCCTGTTACAGTATTACTAGAAATGTATTAGGCGAACATCAGCATCAGAATGTACAATACATATTTACCAGGCCCAGGGATCTGAATAAGAACAGTTTATTATGTAAAATTATTGTTCATCATGGTTTTGATAGCTTTCCTCTGGTGTGTGATATCTGTTTTGAGGTGGACAGACGAGATAATGCTCCAAGCATAAATTCTATAGGTGAAAGACGGGTAAATGAGAGAGCAGTAGTGTTATTACAATACTACAGTAAAGATGTGGGACACAATAGTGAAGTTTTGAAGAGTATACCTACAGTTAGTGAAACTTTTTAAATGAGATGTTTATGGGACTAAATTTAAATATATACAAGATTTGATCACATGAGAAAAATTATTTGGTTGGTTACATTATTTAGGAATACAAGTCAAAATTTATACAGTAGCTGGGTAGGCAGGATAAAAATCACAACAAAGTGAAATAAAAAGCAACAGTAGTAATAATGTGATAAAGGATAATGGTAGAGACTAAAGTCAAAATTATGGTCAAGATTAAAGAAAGACAAGGGTTACATAGTGTAATTAATAAGATATGTAACTGTGATATACTTGTGAAGTTTCTCAAGTTTTTATACTCTTGCAACCCTGCCTGAGGGCAAGGCTTTTCTCATGACTGACTGGTCAGAAAGACTGTTCCTCTTGGTGGCCCGCTGGCCCACACATCCATCACAGCCCCTGCTGATCTGGTGGCAATCCAATTTCCTTTTGAAATTTTCTACATCTGTCCCATGTCTACTGGTAGAAGGTTGGATAGTTGAGGCCCATAAATGTTGGCACAGTGTTTTCTTATTGTGCCCATGGTGCCTAAAATAGGAGTCAAAGTGGGCAGACTTGATGGTGTGTAAATACCGCTGAAATAACACGGTAGTGTTATTTCATCAATTTTCAATCAAATATCGTACTTTTTGTTTTATTACCTTCAGAAAGAAAGATTCTCTACCATTTCATAAGAAAAAAATAAATTCTTGGACTCTGTGGACAAGGACCCTCAAAGTGGTTATTACAATATTTCATAACAGTAACTCTGTTTTTTGGTGTGAATAAAAATTCTTTGTGAATAAAAATAAAAATGGAATTCATGTATAAAGCTGGGAATGTAACTAATGAAAAAAGGAAATGTTATTTTAGTGCCAGGAATGCCTGCATTGTTTATTTTGGACCTTATTTTGAAACTGAAATATTTTGAAATTTTTGTGAAATTAGCCAAATTACCAATTTCTGATCACTTTATTGGGTAATTGAAATAATTTATTGGGCAGTTTCTTGTGCTCAGTTGATAAAATGGAAAGTGTATTAGCAAAATAGCTAATAATTTGGTCAACTGGGATAATATAATTATTCTTCTTTCAACAAACTGGCCATGTCCCACCGAAGCAGTGTGTGGCCCAAAAACAAAAACAAAAGTTTCTTTTTTTAACTTTAGTAATGTATACAGGAGAATGGAGTACTAGCCCCTTGCTCCCGGCATGTTAGTTGCCTCTTATGACACGCACAGCTTATGGAGGAAGAATTCTATTCCACTTTCCCATGGAGATAAGAGGAGATAAACAAGAACAAGAACTAGTAACAAAATAGAAGAAAACCCAGACAGGTGTGTGTATACAGTGGACTCCCGGTTCGTGAAGCCATTGGTATCCAATAAATCCGGTATCCGAAGCATTATATCGCAAAAAATTTGCCTCGGTTCCCGTTACAAAACCCGGTATGCGATACGATTCGTATGAGATGTGTCCACGTGTGGCCTGAACTGCCCCATGTGTGCCAGTGTTTACAAGCCAGCCAGTGTGCGCGCATCTAAGGATACATTCGGTACATTCGATATTATCCATATTATCACGGTTTTTGGTGCTTGTTTCTGCAAAATAAGTCACCATGGGCCCCAAGAAAGCTTCTAGTGCCAACCCATCGAAACCAAGGGTGCTAATGACTATTGAAATGAAGAAAGAGATAATTGCAAAGTATGAAAGTGGAGTGCATGTGTCGGACCTGGCCGAGTTGTATAGTAAATCCCAATCAACCATCTCTACTATAGTGAGCAGGAAAACGGCTATCAAGGAAGCTATTCTTGCAAAAGGTGCAACTGTGATTACGAAACAGCGACCGCAAGTGTTAGAAAATGTTAAGACTGTTATTGGTGTGGTTAAATGAAAAACAGATAGCAGGAGATAGCATCTCTCAAGCGATCATTTGTGAAAAGGCTAGGCAGTTGCATGAGGATTTAATTAGAAAAATGCCTGCAACTAGTGGTGATGTGAGTGAATTTAAGGCCAGCAAAGGTTGGTTTGAAAGATTTAAGAATCGTAATGGCATACATAGTGTGATTAGGCATGGTGAGGCTGCCAGTTCAGACCAAAAAGCAGCTGAAAAATGTGTGCATGAATTCAAGAAGTACATAGAGGCTGAAGGATTGAAACCTGAACAAGTGTTTAATTGTGACGAAACAGGCCTGTTTTGGAAGAAATTGCCAAGCAGGACTTACATTACTCAGGAGGAAAAGGCACTCCCAGGACATAAGCCTATGAAAGACAGGCTTACTCTTCTGATGTTAGACAATGCTAGTGGTGATTGCAAAGTGAAGCCTTTATTGGTGTATCACTCAGAAACTCCCAGAGCGTTCAGGCAAAAGAATATCCTCAAGGCTAATTTGTGTGTGCTGTGGAGGGCAAACACTAAGACATGGGTCACTAGGGACTTTTTCTACGACTGGTTACACCAAGCATTTGCCCCCAATGTGAAAAATTACCTAATTGAAAAGAAATTAGACCTTAAGTGCCTCCTGGTGTTAGACAATGCTCCTGGTCATCCTACAGACTTGGCAGAGCAACTTTGTGGGGACATGAGCTTCATTAAGGTCAAGTTTTTGCCTCCTAATACCACTCCTCTCCTGCAGCCCATGGACCAGCAAGTCATTTCCAACTTCAAGAAACTGTACACAAAAGCTATGTTTGAAAGGTGCTTTGAAGTGACCACAGATACTCTATTGACTCTAAAGGAGTTTTGGAAGGATCACTTTAATATCCTCAATTGTGTAAACCTTATAGGTAAGGCTTAGGAGGGAGTGACTAAGAGGACCTTGGGATTTTGAAGGGTTTGAGGCTAACCCTGAGAATCCTATGCCAGTTGAGGAATCCATTGTGGCATTGGGGAAGTCCTTGGGGTTGGAGGTTAGTGGGGAGGATATGGAAGAGTTGGTGGAGGAGGACAATGACAAACTAACCACTGATGAGCTGCTAGATCATCTTCATCAGCAAGAGGCCAGACCTGAGGAAACTGCTTCGGAGGAGGGGAGAGAGAAATTGACGAAGTTGCCTACTTCAAAGATTAAGGAAATGTGTGCAAAGTGGCTTGAAGTGCAAACCTTTTTTGATGAAAATCACCCTGACACAGCTACTGCAAGCCGTGTTGGCAACCTGTACACTGACAATGTTGTGAACCACTTTAGGAAAGTCATAAAGGAACGAGAGGTACAGGCCTCTATGGACAGATATGTTGTGCGACGAAGTCCAGTGACTCTCAAGCTGGTCCTAGTGGCATTAAAAGAAGAAGGGAAGTAACCCCAGAAAAGGACTTGCTACCTCAAGCCCTAATGGAGGGGGATTCCCCTTCTAAACATTAAAAACTTCAACACTCTCCCCTCCTCCCATCCCATCAATCATCACCAGATCTTCATTAAAGGTAAGTGTCAATTATTCTATTGTGATTATTCTATTGTTATTATTGTTATTGTAATTACATTGCATTAAACGTAATATTTCATTTGGTAAAAGTTTTTTTTTTCATACTTTTGGGTGTCTTGCACGGATTAATTTGATTTCCATTATTTCTTATGGGGAAAATTGATTCGCTTTCCAATAATTTTGGTTTACAATGAGCTCTCAGGAATGGATTAATATCGTGAACCGGGGTTCCACTGTACATACATTTGTACACGTATGTGTAGTGTGACCTAAGTCGAAGTAGCAAGACATACCTGAAATCTTGCATATTTATGAGACAGAAAAATGATGCCAGCAATCCCACCATCACATAAAACAATTAGAGGCTTTCGTTGTACACTCATTAGCAGGACGGTAGTACCTCCCTGGGAGGTTGCTGTCTACCAACCTACTACCTATGCCTTTACCACTGATATAACTTTGAAGAGTTTCAAAAGTTCACTACTCTCGGAGCCCAGCCATGGGTCAGGCTCATCTGGTGCTTGCCTAGTCAACTAGGCTGTTGCTGCTGGAGGTCTGCTGCCCCATACATCCATCACAGCCTGATTGATCTGGCACCTGGTGAAGAAACTTGTCCAGTTTCCTCTTGAACGGTTCTACACTCATCCCAGCCGTGTTTCTGACATCTAGTGAGATGTTGAGTAGTCTGGGACCCCAGATGTTGAGACAGTGTTCCCTTACTGTCCCCACCACACCCTTGCTCCTCACTGGGTTTATTTTGCACTTCTTCCCGTATCTCTCACTCTGGTATGTTATGGCAGTGTGCAGATTTGGGACCAGGCCCTCGAATACTTTCCAGATACATATATATATTATCATGCATCTCTCTCTCCTCAGCTCCAATGAGTGCATGTTCAAGACCTGAAGGCGTTTCCAGCAATTTAGGTGCTTTACTGGCTCAATGTGAGCCATAAACAATCTCTGAATTTGTTCCAGCTCTGACATTTCTCCCTCTTTGAATGGGGCCACCAGCACTGAGCAATATTCTAAATGAGGGAGCACTAGCAATTTGAAGTGTGTCACCATTGGCATTATTTCCCTGGTTTTGAAAGTTCTCAATACCCACCCCATCATCTTCCTGGCTGTCGTGATCTTTGTCTTGTTATGGTCTTTAAAAGAAAGGTCAGCCAACATAATTATTCCCAGGTTTTTTACGTGTTCCTTTCGTTCTATTTGGTGACCCTCTTGAGTTTTGTATATAGTGTTCCTTTTGAGTTCATTCTTTCTATACCTAAGCAGCGGGAACTTATCACCACTGAACATCATGTTCTCCACTGCCCATTGAAAAACCCTACTTATGTCTTCCTGTAATTTTTCCCTGTCCTCTACTATAGTGACTTTCATGCATATTTTAGTGTCATTTGCAAATGATACAAAAGTGTGATGGGTGTTTTTATCTTATTTCTGCTAGAACAATATAATTACCTAAGTAAATTAGGACTCAAAGTTGGCAAAATTGCCAATGTGTAAATAATGCTGACACAGCAAAATTCATCAGTTTTCCATCAAATTTCATACCATTTCATAAGAAAAAAATATAAAAAAAAATAATTTCAAATTCTTGAACCCTGTGGACAAGCTTCAGATCGGGAGTCTGGGCCCCTGAAGGGTTTAAGTAAGTGGTTGTGCCAGGAGGAAACTTGTGGTTCTCACTGTCAAGCAGAAACTAAATAGGTTGAGGCTGTCATCACAGTGGCATGGGTATGTTAGGAATATGGTATTAAGAAACATTATCTGATATCCATAAAAGCAAGGACAAACTTACAGACTATACTGTTAAGTTTAGTGTAGGGATGATAGTAAAACTTTACAGCTCCTCTGACTAAGAATAAAAGTTATTCTGAATCACTAATATCAATCAACATAGTTTATACATCATTTCTCCAGCACAAAAAGGGAGGTAAAATTATTGTAAATTATGTACAGTACCATAAAATTACAGTATAATACTGTACTGTAGTACCTGTATTCTTAGTATCTGGTTCTCTTCTGCATTAGCAGACCAAGTCCACTAGTTCAAAAGATAACCAGACAATTATGAAAAATTTATTTTATAATTCGGAAATTTGGGACAATTGGAAATATTTTACACCCACTCTTCCTCCAATTAGTTCGTTAAAGAGAGTTCACTATACAGTCGTGTGTAACAACTAAGAATAGCACAGGAAAAACTACACCTACTATTTGAGATAAGGAAAAATAGGGTTACCTGAAACTGGAGCCACTCCAAGTGAGGAGAGCATCTTATCCAAGTCCTGATCATCGCGAGGGACACTGCTGGCTCGCACTGCTGCTTCCTGAGCCTGCACAAAAACAAATATATCAATTTATAAGGAATCCAGTTTCTAACAAACTAACAGCACATTCACTTGTTATGAGGATACAATAAAGACAATAGAGCACTATCCTTGACTCAGAACATTTCATAAATATATACAAGACTGATCACCCAGTTTGTGATCTGTACTCAAAATAATGTTTTATATGCTTACAACAGTGCAGTATTGTGTGTAAAAGTAGCATAAAATATACATAATACATCTTAGAAAGACTAGCACCTCTTTTTCCAGTTGTTTTCTTCGTCTGTTCTCTCTCTCTGCACGCAACTGCTTCAACTTAGCCAATTTGCGTTCCTTCTCTTCTTTCCAAGCAGTTCTTCTGTCAGGGGAGTCCAGACGCAAGCGATCCATTGCATTGATGCCAACACCTTGGGACATCATTTTGCTGTTTGCTTCAAGTTTATTTACTGTATTATTCAATATAATCTACAGTATCACAAAATAACACTTCAGACACTTAACTTTCACTTACCACTCTTGGAATTATTTTGTACAGTAATATGGTACACAAAAACAAAGCCTACTACTAATAAAGTTTAGCAATCATTCCTTAACCCATTCACTGTCTCATCTGTAGATCTACATCACTGATGCCAGAGTCACTCATGTAGACCCACATGTGAGTTCAGCTCCCACAGATGAGCTATGAACAGAAATTTTGGTCTAGAAATGAGAGAATGGGTCTGTGCAGCAAGTGTGCACAGTAGGTATAAAAAAAACTGCAACACACGACTGGCTGTTTCTTGGTATCATTTGAGAGAATGAAAAACATGACTTTGGTTGCTTTCAGAACTTGAAGTATCTTAAAATCAGTCTCAAAATATTGGAAGTATGTATTTGATTTTTGACAACATTCCTGAGGATAGGTTAGGTCTCTGCCCTTCATCCCCAGCCCCTATCTGCTTTATAGGTTTTTATTAGGTCTGATTCAATATTTGGATACTGTGCACCATGATCAATCATTCCTGGTTATATTTTATTAATCAAGAAATAAAGTAAATCTTCAAATTGGCCAAATTACCAACTTCTGTGTACTTTATAGAGTAGTTTTGATAGTTGAATGGGCAGGTAGTTATGCTCATTCAATAAAACAGAAGGCATACTAGTGAAATAGCTAGAAATTTGGCTGTCTTGATTAATGGAATTGGCTTAACCCCTTAATGGTCAGTGCCGTAGTTCTAGACTGAATGCTGGGTCAGTGCCATAGTTCTACTCAAGAGCTCAACTCACTCAGATAAGCTGTGAGTGGTAAATACTGGCTTAAGATATATGAGAATGGGTCAATGTGGTAAGTGTGAACCATATAAAAAAAAAAAGTCCTGCCCCACGAAATGCATGATGGGGAAAAAAATTAAATGAATTAAACGAATAAACGAGAGAGAGAGAGTACATGAGAGGAGAGACGAGAGTTACGTAAACAAACCAGCCGAACACGCATGTTACGTAGAGTGTTTATGTAATTTTGAAAAAATGTCATAGATGAATTAAGCAAAATGTCTATATTAACGTTTTATACAACATTTAATGCACTTCAGAGTGATTACTATTGTGTGTTATTATCATTATTAATATGGCATCTTCAAGACTAATAAGACACTCTTAGTGATTTTCATGTGTACCTGCATGCCAGCACAGTAAGTTTACTTAGGTACAGGTGCACACAAGCATCATTATCAGAGTACGTATATATAAAATATGAAATAACTTTAAAACACTTGAAATTTTGGAAATTTTCCAAACATAACGGAGAGATGTGGTGCTCATGGAGAATGTAAACAAACCGGGTGGCGCGTGCCGTATTAGAAAGACAGGGAGCCATATAGTTATTACCTGGAGTTTACCTGGAAAAAGTTCCGGGGGTCAACGCCCCCGCGGCCCGGTCTGTGACCAGGCCTCCTGGAGGATCAGAGCCTGATCAACCCGGTTGTTACTGCTGGCTGCACGCAATCCAACGTACGAGTCACAGCCCGACTGGTCAGGTACCGACTTTAGGCGTTTGTCCAGTGCCTGCTTGAAGACAGCCAGGGGTCTATTGGTAATCCCCCTTATGTATGCTGGGAGGCAGTTGAACGGTCTCGGGCCCCTGACACTTATTGTATGGTCTCTTAACGTGCTAGTGACACCCCTGCTTTTCATTGGGGGGATGTTGCATCATCTGCCGAGTCTTTTGCTTTTGTTGTGAGTGATTTTCGTGTGCAAGTTCGGTACTAGTCCCTCTAGGATTTTCCAGGTGTATATAATCATGCATCTCTCCTGCCTGCGTTCCAGGGAGTACAGGTTCAGGAACTTCAAGCACTCCCAGTAATTGAGGTGTTTTATCTCTGTTATGCACGCCGTGAAGGTTCTCTGTACATTTTCTAGGTCAGCAATTCCACCTGCCTTGAAAGGTGCTGTTAGTGTGCTGCATTAGCGGAATGCCGTAAGGCAAAACGCTGTAAAGAGGGGCCCTACTGTAGAGTACACTGAAAGCTGCTGCTATGATCTTACAGTTCATGGTATATGACCGTGATACAGTACATATTTTTATTTTTTGAGAATCAAGCACATGATTTATAAAGGACTTGACAATATACTGTCTTAATTGAATAAGCACACAAACATACCAAGGTTAGTAGCATACAGTATGTGCCACCAAGTACTGTGCTCTTGATTCTGATCTTTCTCCCTCTCCCAAGCTTTCATGTTTTACTATTTGGTTTTTCTTCCTTGAAGTCACTTGTTTGACCAACCCTGCAGTCTGTCCAGGTCATATTGTAGTGTTTACAACTATAATCTCCATGTGAACTACATGTTCCTTGAAGATATGGACTACATTCATCGTTTTCCACTGACTTGTTACTTCCATGCCAGCACCGACTCATCCACATGGGTTTAACTCTTTCTATGAATATATTAACAATAAGCCATTAACTTCATATTGATTGGATAGAGTAGTTCATAATACCAGTACCACCTTTCTCAAAAACCATAGTGACACTTAAATCCAAGCATATTTAACATAGCCGAGTAACTCTTACTGTAGTATCTTATAATAATGAAAATAATAAAAAATTTATTTTAGCATGATCCACGTTTGTACAAAGGAGTATAACAACTGGGTGTACATGCCAAAAGCCCCTTTTTTATGAAGAGCATTTCAGGAAAACGTAAGACTAACTTAAGATTAATAAGGCAATAATAGTGCAGTAATTGTACATATGGTCATTAAGTGAGTTACAATGAATACAAGAAAACTGACTATTCTATTAGTTCATGATATGGCTTTAACAAGTTTGGTAGACAAGAATTACAGTTTTGATTATTAACCTAAGGCAGACACAATGGAATGATTAACACTCGAGAGGATTACAGATATTGAGAATAAGTATATATACTGATTATAATGTTTCAACTACATTCATGATATTGAGCAAATGCATGTATAGTTTTTATATATTTATTTATTTATGATGGGCTAGGATAGGTTAAGGAGATAAGGTGTTTTCTAACTAGTTTTAAAAATGCTAGCTAGCTGTTAGTGGTGTCTCAGTCTCTCTTGGTCAACACTTCCTCTTTAACTCTGGCACTGCCCTCCACACTGTACACCACCTTAAATTGTTTTTTCATTTCCTTGCAGACTTTAATGTTGCTCCTAGTGAGCCATCCCTGCTTCCTTCATTCTTCAGTCTTTTAAACTAATTCTTTAGAATTACCTTTTTATTGGAACTCCTTAGAAACTTAAATTCACTATTATTATTATTATTATTTTATTACTGAATTGTGATGTCTGATACTTCTGGCAAAACAGCTACTGAATAAATGAAGGAGAATGTGTTTCTTTTTTTGTGGGGAGGGTTATGATATGTTCTTGGGAGATAGCCTGTGGTAAAAAAATAAATTACCATGGGGGAAAAAGAGCTACCCAGGAACGGTAAGTACAGTGGTCCCTCAGTTACAATATTAATTTGTTCAAGACATAAAATATCTCAAAACTATCATTATGCAAACCACAAAATACATACATGGTTTTATGGTAATTTGTCCCAAGACCCAAGAAGTGCAACTTTTACTGTGGCTTGGACTTAAGACACTCACAGATATAACTTAACCCTTTGACTGTTTCAGGCCCCTCTCTGAAACTGTCATTCTATGTCGCTCAATTTTTGAAAAAAAAAAAATATTTTTTCTTATGAAATGATAGAGAATCTTTTCCCGATGGTAATGACACCAAAAGTTCGAAATTTGGTCGAAAACTCGTGGAATTATGCTCCCGCGAAGTTAGCGGTCTCGGCGACATATGCGTATCGGCGATTTCGCCGACTTTGAGCCCAATTTTCAGCCAATTCCATTGTTCCAGTTGACCAAACTCATAGCTATTTCTTTAGAACTCCATTTTATCTATCAGCTGAGTACAAGAAACCTCCCATTTACTAATTTGGACTACCCAATATGGTGGTCAGAAATTGGCAATTTGGCCAATTTCACGCAAAATAAAAAAGATGCCAATTTCAAAATAGGGTCCAGAATAAACAAGGTAGACATTCGTGGCACTAAAATAACATATGCTCTGTTCATTAGTCACATCTCTAGGTCCCTCTTATATTATTATTGCTTTCTATTTTGATTTTTTATTCATACAAAAAAATACAAAATTTACTGTTATGCAGACGACTGCATTATTGTAAAAATGGTATAAATAATATCAATGCACTAGTGAAAGAATATTAGACTCCCCAGTTGACGTGTATTGGACGTGTGGTGTGATTTATGTACTCTTGAACATTGGTAAAAATCGAACATTTCCGCTACTTTGAGCTCAGTTTCAAGGTCGTTTTCATCGTAAAAGTAATGAAAATCATCTCTATTTCTGTAATATGTTTTCCATTTTATCACCTAAGACCATGAAAACGCGAATACAACGATAAATACTATACGAAAATACACCTCAAAGTCGGCGTTTTATTCCAAAAAAAACAATCAGAGTTTTTTTTTTCTCATTACGCAATGTGTGCTGCAGGATTTTTTTTATGTGGTGCACACTGACCACACAGACCCATTCTCTCACATGTGGGCCTACCAGCTTTCTCCCACTTGATTTGAAGCCGCTAGAATTATTGAGTATATATACGTCAGAAACATTGGCTCGTAAGACGTATTTATACGTCGAAAACAGTCAAAGGGTTAAAGGCACTATCTTTCTTCATCTGTTGCTCTCTTTACCATATCTTCCTTCATCTGCTACTCTCACCCACAACAACAGTCTTTCCAGCTCTATGATAATTTTTCTGCCCTTTTTTTCAATAACTTAGAATCATCAGCCACTTTAATATTCTTTATAATTTCTTTTTGCTTAGTAATAGTAGGGAATTGTGGAAATCCATATTTACACACCAATGCACTAATTCTAACTTCTTTTTTCACAGCTTTTTATTTGATGCTTAGAGAGA